TAGCTCTGGCTGTCGGCCAGAATCCGAAAACCATACATTATACTGCATGAAAGACTAAGGCTTATTACTGTATATTGACCAATGGGAAAAAAAACACAGCAACAGAACACATCAATAAAACAAGGATAACTGTGACTTATTGTTGAGTAAATAACAGTGTGTGTTTTAAACCTTGGTCCTCCCTGCAGAGATTTCTCCACTTTCTAAGATTTTTTTTTTTTTTAATGATATTGTCAACTGTAGATGTTTACAATATAGTAAATTAGGAATTTCATGAAAACATATTTATTTACTTTTGTTTCAACATTGGATATTTTGTGTTTGTGGTGGATTCAATCGAATATTGAGAAAATGATTTATGTAAAAATGTTTGACACTTTTTTTTTACAGTTTCATGTGTAGGTACCTTAAAATTACAAAGAAATATCTTAAAGTCTTATAATAGTAATACACTTTTATATTACGAGGAGTTACATATTTAATTGCAGATAATAATTTTTATTTTACATACATCTGCATGTATTTTCTGAAAGTGCAAAAATACTGTAAATATTATATAGTAAATTTACTTTAAAAAAAAATGAAATAAATGTTATTTGTTGTTGTCAAAATACTTAAAATAATGTTTTGGGTTGTTAATTTATAGTTTATATCTGTAATTTTACGGGATTTTGCAAGTTATTTAAAAAAACATAATTACTATAAAAAAATAATTATTTCCTGTAAAATTAGGATATTTTTTTACAGTGTATAGAATGTCTCAGTTCAAATCTTCCAGACGGTTTGAGAAGTAGGCTATGCTGCAGGACACACGCCGGTTAGAATAGTCTATTCTGCACATGTGCAATGCTGCACAATTCAAATTTTACAGTAATGGGTTGTGCTATTACAGATGATTTTGAGTACAGTGCTTTACTGTGAAATAATAGTTAAATAATGTCAAATCCAATTTTACTGTAGTTTTATAGATATTTTGTTGTGATATTACAGGGGCTTTTTATTACAATATTTCTCTGTAATATGATACTCTTAAATGCTGTGAAATCCTTGCAATGTTTACAATGTTGTTGTGATATTACAGAGGATTTTGATTGCAGTATTTTATTGTGAAATAATAGTTAAATGCTGTGAAATCCAAGGATACAGTCCTTTTTACATGTATTTGTTGGGATATTACAGGGGGCCTTGATTACAATATGTCACTGTAAAATAATACTGTTAAATGTAGTGAAATGCTGGTAAATTTTTACAGTATATCAGTATGTAGTGTCTCTACTTTAAAGAGTCCTCTCCTGCTGATGTTCAGGTGTATATCAGTATGTAGTGTCTCTACTTTAAAGAGTCCTCTCCTGATGATGTTCAGGTGTATATCAGTATGTAGTGTCTCTACTTTAAAGAGTCCTCTCCTGATGATGTTCAGGTGTATATCAGTATGTAGTGTCTCTACTTTAAAGAGTCCTCTCCTGCTGATGTTCAGGTGTATATCAGTATGTAGTGTCTCTACTTTAAAGAGTCCTCTCCTGCTGATGTTCAGGTGTATATCAGTATGTAGAGTCTCTACTTTAAAGAGTCCTCTCCTGCTGATGTTCAGGTGTATATCAGTATGTAGTGTCTCTACTTTAAAGAGTCCTCTCCTGCTGATGTTCAGGTGTATATCAGTATGTAGTGTCTCTACTTTAAAGAGTCCTCTCCTGCTGATGTTCAGGTGTATATCAGTACGTAGTGTCTCTACTTTAAAGAGTCCTCTCCTGCTGATGTTCAGGTGTATATCAGTATGTAGTGTCTCTACTTTAAAGAGTCCTCTCCTGCTGATGTTCAGGTGTATATCAGTATGTAGAGTCTCTACTTTAAAGAGTCCTCTCCTGCTGATGTTCAGGTGTATATCAGTATGTAGTGTCTCTACTTTAAAGAGTCCTCTCCTGCTGATGTTCAGGTGTATATCAGTATGTAGTGTCTCTACTTTAAAGAGTCCTCTCCTGCTGATGTTCAGGTGTATATCAGTATGTAGTCTCTACTTTAAAGAGTCCTCTCCTGCTGATGTTCAGGTGTATATCAGTATGTAGTGTCTCTACTTTAAAGAGTCCTCTCCTGCTCATGTTCAGGTGTATATCAGTATGTAGTGTCTCTACTTTAAAGAGTCCTCTCCTGCTGATGTTCAGGTGTATATCAGTATGTAGTGTCTCTACTTTAAAGAGTCCTCTCCTGCTGATGTTCAGGTGTATATCAGTATGTAGTGTCTCTACTTTAAAGAGTCCTCTCCTGCTGATGTTCAGGTGTATATCAGTATGTAGTGTCTCTACTTTAAAGAGTCCTCTCCTGCTGATGTTCAGGTGTATATCAGTATGTAGTGTCTCTACTTTAAAGAGTCCTCTCCTGCTGATGTTCAGGTGTATATCAGTATGTAGTGTCTCTACTTTAAAGAGTCCTCTCCTGCTGATGTTCAGGTGTATATCAGTATGTAGTGTCTCTACTTTAAAGAGTCCTCTCCTGCTGATGTTCAGGTGTATATCAGTATGTAGTGTCTCTACTTTAAAGAGTCCTCTCCTGCTGATGTTCAGGTGTATATCAGTATGTAGTGTACTTTAAAGAGTCCTGCTAATGGAACTGTTTGGTGTTTCTGAACCCTGTGACCTGCTGTTAGTGGAGCGTTAAACCTTTAACTGTTTTATGGGTCTTTAACAGATTACAAACTGTTCTCAGTTTATTTTGAGGCCGCGTGGCTCCTCTGGTATCTCTGCTGTAAACTCACATTAAGAGCAATAAGTGTGGGTGTGTTGTAAATGCGTGTGATTGGGAGATAGTGTGTGTGCATGTATATTGAAAACACTACAGCTGTTTACGCTCGTTGTGTTTGATGGTTACTAACAGGAACACATCGATAAGAAAGAGTCAAAGACAGCATTAACTACCCAGATTTTCACAGTAAATATACAACAATATTAGCAAAAATACAACCTAACAATTCTCTAAAACACGTCAACTGAATATGAATAAAATGCAAAAATAGTAATAATGAAGAATAACTCTATTTGATGCGAAAATAATGATGGTTCAAATCGATGTAACGTTTACAGACGGTACATGACAACTTAGAAATCTATCAGCGACGAACACCTCGACTGTTTTAGTATCTCAATGTTTGAATGGTCTTTAGGAGTTTCAACGATCCCGGTTTTAACAAGAAAATACAATAATGACTTTGTCAGAAATATCTCGACACATCGAGCAAAGACTAAGTAATATATTTGATTTGAAATCTAAATTTCTGCCAGGGTTATTAAACTAAGGAACAGAGCTGCAGCCACGGGAGATTTTATGAGTTTTTTCTCAGGACTAAAAAACCCCACTGTTGATCACATCTGGAAATGTTTTCCTGATTTTTCTGTTATAAATGATTTCTGATATAAACCATGTCTCTCCAGCAGCTCAGAGGTATATTTCCCTCCAGCAGGGGGCGCCTCTCTGTTTCACCCGAGCCTCGGTTCACCTGCCGCTTCACACACACACAGAAACACCTGAAGCTGCAGGAGCAACACACACTGGGTGTTTAAATCATAAAGGGTCGTTTAATTAATGACCTTGAACTGTAATTCAGTGCATCAGCATGTTGTTATGGTAGAAGAAGAACACACTGCTGTCAGATCAACACTGTGCATCAAACCCGGCTTTATTTATTACCTCAATAACTAATGATGTGTTCGGACCTCCTCACACACCTGAACTCTGAACCTTTGCACTGAGACCTGCCTGTGTGTGTGTGTGTGTGTGTGTGTGTGTGTGTGTGTGTGTGTGTGTGTGTGTGTGTGCAGCAGTATAAAGGCAGCAGCGGGACAGCAGCAGGTAGACCTCCTCCAGGTGAAGCTCCTCTCTCTCAGGTGTGTATCCCTCCGCCGCCTCGAGTGAATCTGCGAGAAAACGGTCTAACGGACCGATTCTGAGTGAAATATGTCAGCTTTCACTTGGTTTTGGATCCGTGCAAATACGACGTGTGTGTGTGTCTGTGTGTGTGTGTCTGTGTCTGTGTGTGTGTGTCTGTGTCTGTGTCTGTGTGTGTGTCTGTGTATGTGTATGTGTATGTGTGTGTGCGCGGGATATTTTTGGCTCTTTATTTTGGTTTTAGAAGCGTTTTTTGTTGTTGATTGAATTCCTCTGGATCACCGAGAAGCAGTCTGAACTTTGTTTCGTGTTTGCTTTCTGTTTAGTTTTCATCATGCAGATTACTCTTATATATATTTAGACTGAAAGCGTTGCATTTAAAGAGCAGAGCTGATGAAATACTTTGCAGATCGTAATATACTTCAAATACAGCTGGGTAGCTTGAGCTTTTATCAGAATCAGAACTGGTTGTATTTAAAGTAGGTTTTCACACACTATGAGTTATCTTTGTGGTGCATTCAGGGACAGAGGGAAAGTAGGACTGTTATAACAGATTAACAATAGTTACACATGACAAATACACTGTGTTAAAAGTGGAGAGCTGTGCTGATCAAAGGGTTAATACTTATTAGATAGCAATACTAAGTTAATCTTAACCTGATCATTAATCATTTGTTGTTTTATTAAGTGTTTTTAAATCTTCAAAGTACCTTAAGTTATCAGATGTTAAGTAAATTAGATATTTAAAGTAAACAAAGTAGATGTTCTGCTCACCTGAGAGCTTCAGTTTCTGGTCAGTTATGACCTTGATATCTGATATTACTACTCCTCTATGACCTTGATATCTGATATTACTACTCCTCTATGACCGGCTCTGATTTCATATCTGTCTTATTATTTTAAACGTTACATTATTAAGATTTTATTTCACATTTTTAAATTTCTATTTCTATATTTTTCATTTTTTAAAGTCCCTCCTCAGACAGTCATGCCTCCTCGTCCTCAGCTGGAGAACGACTCCTCTTCCTCCCTCGGTGAGTTCACTCCTCCTCTTCATCATCCTGCACTATGTTGCTCCTGTTCTAACACCTTCCTCCTCCTCCTCCTCCTCCTCCTCAGATGAAGCTCCAGATAAATCCTCCGTCCTCCCTTCTTACTCCACGGTGGATCTGGTGTCTGAGGACAGAGAGGAGGATCCCTGGGACCTCCCGGAACTCAAGGACACCGGGGTCAGCTGGTCAGGTGAGGCATACACACACCTGAACACACACCTGAACACACACCTGAACACACACCTTAACACACACCTTAACACACACCTTAACACACACCTGAACACACCTGAACACATACCTTTACACACCTGAACACATACCTGAACACACCTGAACACATACCTTTACACACCTGAACACATACCTTTACACACCTGAACACACACATTTACACACCTGAACACATACCTGAACACACCTGAACACACACCTTTACACACCTGAACACATACCTGAACACACCTGAACACATACCTTTACACACCTGAACACATACCTTTACACACCTGAACACATACCTTTACACACCTGAACACACACATTTACACACCTGAACACATACCTGAACACACCTGAACACACACCTTTACACACCTGAACACATACCTGAACACATACCTGAACACACCTGAACACATACCTTTACACACCTGAACACATACCTTTACACACCTGAACACATACCTTTACACACCTGAACACATACCTGAACACACACCTTTACACACCTGAACACACCTGAACACACACCTTTACACACCTGAACACATACCTTTACACACCTGAACACATACCTGAACACACACCTTTACACACCTGAACACACACCTTTACACACCTGAACACACACCCTTTACACACCTGAACACACCTGAACACACACCTTTACACACCTGAACACACACCTTTACACACCTGAACACACCTGAACACACACCTGAACACACCTGAACACACACCTTTACACACCTGAACACACACCTTTACACACCTGAACACATACCTTTACACACCTGAACACATACCTGAACACACACCTTTACACACCTGAACACATACCTGAACACACACCTTTACACACCTGAACACACCTGAACACACACCTTTACACACCTGAACACACACCTTTACACACCTGAACACATACCTGAACACACACCTTTACACACCTGAACACACACCTCGCTCACATATCTGTTTCTTTGTACACTCCACTCATGTCCCTTTTGTGAATTGATATTCTTCCTCTTGATGTGTATCTTTATTTGAATCAGATCTGGACACTAAGGGGCAGATCCTGCGGGTGCTGACAGGCGTGCTGAAGGCTGTGATGCTGCTGGGCTTCCTCTACATCTTCATCTGCTCTCTGGACGTGCTCAGCTCCGCCTTCCAGCTGGTGGGGGGTAAACCAGACCCTCCTATACCTACCTTCATTATTACTACTACTACTACTATATATCTGCTTTATTAAACAAGGAGCGTGCATCTGCAGTCCCTGGGCTCATCTGTGCATCGAGTGTGACCTGTGTGTGTGTGTGTGTGTGTGTGTGTGTGTGGTGTGTGTGTGTGTGTGTGTGTGTGTGTGTGTGTGTGTGTGTGTGTGTGTGTGTGTGTGTGTGTGTGTGTGTGTGTGTGTGTGTGTGTGTGTGTGCAGGTAAGGCAGCAGGTGATATCTTCCAGGACAACGTGATCCTGTCTAACCCCGTGGCGGGGCTGGTAATCGGGGTGATGGTCACCGTGTTGGTGCAGAGCTCCAGCACCTCGTCCTCCATCGTAGTCAGCATGGTGTCCTCTGGACGTGAGTACACACACACACACACACACACACACACACACACACACACACACACACACACACACACACACACACACACACACACACACACACACACACACACACACACACACACACACACACACACACACACCACACACACACTGCTCTGTCACCAAAAGGATGCACGTTATAGAATAATCATCTATGTTTATGTTGGTGTCTTTGGGCTGGATGACAGGATGGACTTGAGTTTTTAGGAAACACAATAAGATATCCTGTAACTGTAGGGGTTTGTGATGTTTTGCATGCATAAGACCCTCATTACAGGTGTGCAAAACTGAGTTGCATATTAAACTGGACTTACAGTAACGTGAACGCAAACGATACTAAGATATTAAAACAGGATGATGTAGCTTTAGCCGTTAGCCCTTATGAATAGTTTCCTGTTAAAGACCCTTGGTGCAATGAAGTGAAATGTTTGGCTGCGACTGATTCTCTGGTGTCTTTAAACCTCGAGGCCCTTAGTGTGCCTGACATGAACATAAAGAAATGACTCCATGTGTCCTCAGTGCTGGACGTGCAGTCTGCGGTCCCGATCATCATGGGAGCCAACATCGGGACGTCGGTCACCAACACCATCGTGGCCATGATGCAGGCCGGAGACCGCAACGAGTTCCGCAGGTACACAGAGACACACACTGACACACACTGACACACACTGACACACAGAGATACACACTGACACACAGAGACACACACTGACACACACTGACACACACTGACACACACTACACACACTGACACACAGAGACACACAGAGACACACACTGACACACACTGACACACACTGACACACACTGACACACACTACACACACTGACACACAGAGACACACAGAGACACACACTGACACACACTGACACACAGAGACACACACTGACACACACTGACACACACTGACACACACTACACACACTGACACACAGAGACACACAGAGACACACACTGACACACACTGACACACAGAGACACACACTACACACACTACACACACTGACACACACTGACACACACTGACACACACTGACACACAGAGACACACACTACACACACTACACACACTGACACACAGAGACACACAGAGACACACACTGACACACACTGACACACAGAGACACACACTACACACACTGACACACACTGACACACACTACACACAGAGACACACACTGACACACAGAGACACACACTGACACACACTGACACACACTGACACACACTGACACACACTGACACACAGAGACACACACTGACACACACTGACACACACTGACACACAGAGACACACACTGACACACACTGACACACAGAGACACACACTGACACACAGAGACACACACTGACACACACTGACACACAGAGACACACACTGACACACAGAGACACACACTGACACACAGAGACACACAGAGACACACACTGACACACACTGACACACACTGACACACAGAGACACACACTACACACAGAGACACACAGAGACACACACTGACACACACTGACACACACTGACACACACTGACACACAGAGACACACACTGACACACACTGACACACACTGACACACAGAGACACACACTGACACACACTGACACACACTACACACACTGACACACACTGACACACACTGACACACACTGACACACACTGACACACACACTGACACACACTGACACACACTGACACACACTGAAACACACACTGACGCACACTGACGCACACTGACGCACACTACACACACTACACACACTACACACTCTGACACACACTGAAACACACTGACACACCTGCAGTATGATGGTACCTTCAGTCAGGGTTCACAGCGTGTCCTCCTCCTCCTCCTCCTCCTCCTCCTCCTCCTCCTCCTCCTCCTCCTCCTACAGGGCGTTTGCTGGAGCTACGGTGCACGACTTCTTCAACTGGCTCTCTGTTCTGGTCCTCTTGCCGCTGGAAGTTGCCACCGGCGTTCTGTACAAACTCACCAAGATCATCATCGACTCCTTCAACATCCAATCAGGAGAGGACGCTCCCGACCTGCTGAACGTCATCACAGACCCGCTGACGGACTCTATCATACAGGTAGCCAATCAGTGACTCCATCATACAGCTAGCCAATCAGTGACTCTATCATACAGCTAGCCAATCAGTGACGCCATCATACAGCTAGCCAATCAGTGACTCTATCATACAGCTAGCCAATCAGTGACTCTATCATACAGCTAGCCAATCAGTGACTCCATCATACAGGTAGCCAATCAGTGACTCTATCATACAGGTAGCCAATCAGTGACGCCATCATACAGCTAGCCAATCAGTGACTCCATCATACAGCTAGCCAATCAATGACGCCATCATACAGGTAGCCAATCAGTGACTCCATCATACAGGTAGCCAATCAGTGACGCCATCATACAGCTAGCCAATCAGTGACTCCATCATACAGCTAGCCAATCAATGACGCCATCATACAGGTAGCCAATCAGTGACTCCATCATACAGGTAGCCAATCAGTGACGCCATCATACAGCTAGCCAATCAGTGACTCCATCATACAGCTAGCCAATCAATGACGCCATCATACAGGTAGCCAATCAGTGACTCCATCATACAGGTAGCCAATCAGTGACTCCATCATACAGCTAGCCAATCACTGACTCCATCATACAGGTAGCCAATCAGTGACGCCATCATACAGCTAGCCAATCAGTGACTCCATCATACAGGTAGCCAATCAGTGACGCCATCATACAGCTAGCCAATCAGTGACTCCATCATACAGGTAGCCAATCAGTGACTCCATCATACAGGTAGCCAATCAATGACGCCATCATACAGGTAGCCAATCAGTGACGCCATCATACAGCTAGCCAATCACTGACTCCATCATACAGCTAGCCAATCACTGACTCCATCATACAGCTAGCCAATCAGTGACTCCATCATACAGGTAGCCAATCAGTGACTCCATCATACAGGTAGCCAATCAGTGACTCCATCATACAGCTAGCCAATCACTGACTCCATCATACAGCTAGCCAATCACTGACTCCATCATACAGCTAGCCAATCACTGACTCCATCATACAGGTAGCCAATCAGTGACTCCATCATACAGGTAGCTACCTATAGAGTGGCGAAGTCCCGCCCATCTACTTCCGCCCCATGGGACCTTATTTCGGAAAAATAATGTATTGAAGTCAATGGAGAGAGAAAACTTATCTCTCGATCCCGTTTGAATTGTGCCATGAATTACACACATGATGTTTGTCAATCATAAAAAATAATTTCCATGTCAAAAAAGTCACAGTTTGTCGTAAAACTGTTGAAATATAAGACTATGAAAAATATGCAACTAGAAAGACGACAAATCCCAGAGTCGCGTAAGTGATGTCACAATTGTTTTCCTCCACTAAGAGATAGCTAAGATCAGCGCCATATAGATATAATCTATCTATATGGCGCTGGCTAAGATAAGATAACTTTCACAAGATGCCTGTGTGCTTAGTACCAGGTTGTTATCATACCAGCAATGGGTCTTGCTCGTTCTTTTGCTTCCCGTCTGATGAAAGGACCAGGAGTGGCTTGATCAAGCTAGCTAGTAGCTAGCACGTTAGTTAGCATTACAGCCTTGTCATTTTTATTAGCCTTAACATGAAGTAACATTAAGTAACCCAAAATGTTAAACAGTAAGAGTAGTAGTCATATTTCGTGAACCCTTTGAAGAGTACTGTCACCGGTGTGATCATTCTATAATACACAATTTAAGCCCGGGGGAGAAATGCTAACGCTAACGCTAGCGATCTTCTCTACTTCATGCTATCTGCACAAATGGTTGACATTAAACATTAAAACGACCAGGCAGTTCAGAGAGAATCAAAGGAAGGCAGGCAGGCAGCTTTGCATGACTTTCTTCAGGACGTGTTTCATTGTGGTGATAGTGAGGGTGAGGGTCAGGGTGAGGGTCAGGGTGAGGGTCAGGGTGAGGGTCAGGGTGAGAGGGTGATAGTGAGGATAGCCAATCGTTTGTTGACAAGACAGTAGTGACGGCTATCTTGGTGACATGTGTTGTTGACCAGAGATGTAGTTCATTGAGCGTTTCACACAAACAAATGTGTTACTTCACAGTTTTACGACACATTTTTTTTTTTTTGACTTGCAAAATTATCTTTTAAATTGACAAACATCATATGTGTAATTCGTGGCACAATTCAAACGGGATCGAAAGATAATCTTTCTCTCTCCATTGACTTCAATACATCATTTTGAAAAAGCAATGTAAATAATAACAAATTAGAAGGAAAAACAGATTTAAAAAAATACAGATTTCAGTATTCTGACACAGAACGATTTTAGAAGCAATGTATTTATTGGTAGTATGTTTCGTGCCTGCACCAAATAATAACTAATTAGAAGCAAAAAGAGATGACATAAAATACAGATGTCAGTATTCTGAGGCTCTGAGACATTTCTTTTCCTCACTGACGGCAAGAAAACTCAGACTTTATACAATTTAAAATAAAAGGGATAGGGTTAGGCTTAGGGTAAGATATTGAGTAAGAACATGTTTTTATGAACCACACAGCTTCTGGTCTTCCAAGACCCGACCGGACAAAAAGACGTGTTGCAGGCACGAAACATACTACCAATAGAAATACATTGCTTTAAAATCGTTCTGTGTGACACGAAAAAAAGGTGAAAATGGTGTTGGTGAACACGAATCAATAGATTACATTAATTTCGTGACTAATAACACGAAATGCCGTGAGACTGGGTTGCCCATGGAGGTCCACTGGAAGGGGAGGGACTTCGCCACTCTATTTATAGCCATTGTTGTGTTCTTATTTGTCTTAATTTTTGTTATTAATTTGTGTTTTTCTCTGTATTGAACATGTTAGATTATCTATTGCTCGCCTTTGTCCCTTTGTCCCTTTGTCCCTTTGTCCCTTTGTCCCTTTGTCCCTTTGTCCCTTTGTCCCTTTGTCCCTTTGTCCCTTTGTCCCTTTGTCCCTTTGTCCCTTTCGCTGCAGAACTCATAAAGAAGATCTGATTCTGGTCCTAAAGAACTTTTGAAATGTATTTCTTTGTGTTTTCATCAGCTGGATAAATCTGTCATCACTGGGATCGCCACGGGAGACCCTTCAGCCAGAAACAAGAGTCTGATCAAAGTGTGGTGCAAGACGGAGATCAACACGGTGAGACGCTGCACACACACACACACACACACACACACACACACACACACACACACACACACACACACACACACACACACACACACACACACACACACACACACACACACCACACACACACACACACACACACACACACACACACACACACACACACACACACACACACACACACACACACACACACACACACACAGTAAACATGTGATGGTTATCCGTCTGTGAGTCACTGATGTTGTCCTGTGTGACTGCACGGCTGTTAGCTCATGCTTTGAAGCTGTTATTTGATGAAAGCAGGACAGTGTGCTCATTCAGAGATGATCACCGTGCTGCTTCCACTTCTTTAATGACGCCTCTCTGTGGTTGCCGGGCAGACCTTCTATAACGTGACGGTGGAGAGCTGCAGCGCCGGGTCCGTGTGCTGGGAGGAGGGGAACCTCACCTGGAGTCAGATGAACTACTCCTGTATCGACTACCAGCAGAAATGTAAGCGTGCTTTTATTGTCATTTGTACATAGCTATAGTGTGGAACATCACGGATGACCTCAAGTTTGATTTTCATGAAGAATGTACGCTAGAGGGAGACCAGAAACGTGTTTGAACATGACAAACTGTTTGAGACTGTATTTATACCTTGAACGTCTTTTTTGCTTCTCTTTTTTATATATAATATAATATTATTATTATTGTTTGTTTTACTTCTAACATGTTCAATAGATGGACTAATACAACACTAATATGTCAATGAGTTCACAGGCTCCTCCTCCAACAGAGCAACAACACAGATACAATAGTGAAGTAAATACAAATGAAATAGAATAGAAGTATTGCAGTAAGAGCCTGAACACAAGTCACATGAATATGATCTAGATCATCATTAGCGAGATGCAAACAGATGAATGTTATGGCTGCTCTTTCTAAAGTCAGAACAGTTTGTTGGACTTTGTCGTGGATCCGATGTAACACTCACACCCTTAAAGAATCAAACAAAAAGGAATCATTCAAACACAGACACAGAGGTGCTTGAAGTGAAATATGATATTGCTGTACAGCGCTATAAGAGACACGTTACCTTAGCAGCAGACAGCGTACGTAGCTAACATGTGTTGCTTCCTCTGAACCTCTCAGACTTTACAGGGTCCCTTTATTTAGCAGATACCACCCATTAGCTGCTGGTGAAGAGATGGGCCTCTCTCAAGGGAACGACATGCATTACTCACTGAGTCACGAGCATGGCTCAAAGCTCCTGATTACATCAAGCAGATTGTCCAGTGGCTGCTCCAGTGGAGAGGAGTCTGATACCTGAGACACAAAGCTCCTCTCAGTCCTGAGACTCAGCTGATGGTCTCTACCTGCTCAAAGGGTCCTTTATCTGCCTCTGAAGCACCTGAGAGCCAGCTGACCAGAACATTAACCCACTAGCACCTGAGAGCCACCTGACCAGAACATTAACCCACTAGCACCTGAGAGCCAGCTGACCAGAACATTAACCCACTAGCACCTGAGAGCCACCTGACCAGAACATTAACCCACTAACACCTGAGAGCCACCTGACCAGAACATTAACCCACTAACACCTGAGAGCCACCTGACCAGAACATTAACCCACTAACACCTGAGAGCCAGCTGACCAGAACATTAACCCACTAGCACCTGAGAGCCACCTGACCAGAACATTAACCCACTAGCACCTGAGAGCCACCTGACCAGAACATTAACCCACTAACACCTGAGAGCCACCTGACCAGAACATTAACCCACTAACACCTGAGAGCCAGCTGACCAGAACATTAACCCACAAACACCTGAGAGCCAGCTGACCAGAACATTAACCCACTAACACCTGAGAGCCACCTGACCAGAACATTAACCCACTAGCACCTGAGAGCCAGCTGACCAGAACATTAACCCACAAACACCTGAGAGCCACCTGACCAGAACATTAACCCACAAACACCTGAGAGCCACCTGACCAGAACATTAACCCACTAGCACCTGAGAGCCAGCTGACCAGAACATTAACCCACTAACACCTGAGAGCCACCTGACCAGAACATTAACCCACTAACACCTGAGAGCCAGCTGACCAGAACATTAACCCACTAACACCTGAGAGCCACCTGACCAGAACATTAACCCACTAACACCTGAGAGCCAGCTGACCAGAACATTAACCCACAAACACCTGAGAGCCAGCTGACCAGAACATTAACCCACAAACACCTGAGAGCCAGCTGACCAGAACATTAACCCACTAACACCTGAGAGCCAGCTGACCAGAACATTAACCCACTAGCACCTGAGAGCCACCTGACCAGAACATTAACCCACTAACACCTGAGAGCCACCTGACCAGAACATTAACCCACAAACACCTGAGAGCCACCTGACCAGAACATTAACCCACAAACACCTGAGAGCCAGCTGACCAGAACATTAACCCACAAACACCTGAGAGCCAGCTGACCAGAACATTAACCCACTAGCACCTGAGAGCCAGCTGACCAGAACATTAACCCACTAGCACCTGAGAGCCAGCTGACCAGAACATTAACCCACTAGCACCTGAGAGCCAGCTGACCAGAACATTAACCCACTAGCACCTGAGAGCCAGCTGACCAGAACATTAACCCACTAACACCTGAGAGCCACCTGACCAGAACATTAACCCACTAACACCTGAGAGCCACCTGACCAGAACATTAACCCACTAGCACCTGAGAGCCACCTGACCAGAACATTAACCCACTAGCACCTGAGAGCCACCTGACCAGAACATTAACCCACTAGCACCTGAGAGCCACCTGACCAGAACATTAACCCACTAGCACCTGAGAGCCACCTGACCAGAACATTAACCCACTAACACCTGAGAGCCAGCTGACCAGAACATTAACCCACTAACACCTGAGAGCCACCTGACCAGAACATTAACCCACTAACACCTGAGAGCCAGCTGACCAGAACATTAACCCACAAACACCTGAGAGCCACCTGACCAGAACATTAACCCACTAACACCTGAGAGCCAGCTGACCAGAACATTAACCCACTAACACCTGAGAGCCAGCTGACCAGAACATTAACCCACTAACACCTGAGAGCCAGCTGACCAGAACATTCACCCACTAACACCTGAGAGCCACCTGACCAGAACATTAACCCACTAACACCTGAGAGCCACCTGACCAGAACATTCACCCACTAACACCTGAGAGCCACCTGACCAGAACATTAACCCACTAACACCTGAGAGCCACCTGACCAGAACATTAACCCACTAACACCTGAGAGCCACCTGACCAGAACATTAACCCACTAGCACCTGAGAGCCACCTGACCAGAACATTAACCCACTAGCACCTGAGAGCCACCTGACCAGAACATTAACCCACTATTACCTGAGAGCCACCTGACCAGAACATTAACCCACTAGCACCTGAGAGCCACCTGACCAGAACATTAACCCACTAACACCTGAGAGCCAGCTGACCAGAACATTAACCCACAAACACCTGAGAGCCACCTGACCAGAACATTAACCCACTAACACCTGAGAGCCAGCTGACCAGAACATTAACCCACAAACACCTGAGAGCCACCTGACCAGAACATTAACCCACTAACACCTGAGAGCCAGCTGACCAGAACATTAACCCACTAACACCTGAGAGCCAGCTGACCAGAACATTAACCCACTAACACCTGAGAGCCAGCTGACCAGAACATTCACCCACTAACACCTGAGAGCCACCTGACCAGAACATTAACCCACTAACACCTGAGAGCCACCTGACCAGAACATTCACCCACTAACACCTGAGAGCCACCTGACCAGAACATTAACCCAAAAACACCTGAGAGCCAGCTGACCAGAACATTAACCCACTAACACCTGAGAGCCACCTGACCAGAACATTAGAGATGGATAGAAATGTATTTATTAGGATAAAGCCCTTGAGATGCAGCATCTGGTTTTCAAGGGGGTCCCGACAAAAGCAACGTCTTACAGTATCAGATACTTCTAGATAAGGAGATGTTTCCTGACAGACAGAAGAAGAACTGAAGGGGATTCGTTCTTCTTCTCAAATCACAATGAAGATGTTTTCAGCAGCGGTTTATCTTCAACAGAGTCTAGCATCGTGCACACCTTAGTTAACCCTTTAACCTTCCCTCTCTCTCAGGTCAACACATATTTGCCTACGTGACCCTCCCTGACTTGGCGGTGGGTCTCATCCTATTGGCTCTCTCTCTCTTCGTCCTCTGCTCCTGCCTCATCCTCATCGTCAAGCTGCTGAACTCCATGCTGAAGGGCCAGGTGGCCGTGGTCATCAAGAAGGTGCTCAACACAGGTAAACAAAACGACTTCCTGTGACCATTGTCAGGCGAATTATCATCTGTTATACTGGACATGTCAAAACGTGACCCCTGTCGAACCAACAATCTTCAATTCCCTGTAATGTAGAGTTCCATTGGCTGTTCCCCTTTCAATCTTTTGCTCTCCTCCCTTAAAGAGTCTTGTCCTTTGTTTGATGGAGGTGCAGATGTCTTTAGCACACAGTGGTTCAGGTTATCTGGCCTTCCAGCTGGAAATATATTGTTTCTGTTAAATGCTTTAACTCTTTACTACAGGGGTGCCCATTACGTCGATCGGGTAGTGTGGGTAGATCGCATGGCATTGAAAAGAAATTATTAATTTTTTTTTTTAAAGTTAGCCTATCATCCATCCTTACATCCTTACTACAGGTACGCCAGTCTGAGTTGAGCCATACGGGTTCATGCAGTCATGGTGAGGGGGCCTCACCTCCTCATCTGAAGCGCAAATGCGGCACACTACTATATGCGGGCTTGGTCATTTTAAAAGTAGCTCCCAAGCTGAAAAAGGGGCACCCCTGCTTTATTATATAACACAACTTTGGTTTAAGCTTGTATATTTGTTCTTTTCTTACCAGAAGGAGATTAAGTGAGGAATTTCCACCACAATATGAATACTCTCTAACAAATATTAACACAAGACATAGTTCCACGCTGGTCCCTGAGTTCAGAGCAGTCAGAAGACAAATCATAAAAACGCTCACCTGTGAGAAGTCTTTCAGGTCAACAGGTACATTTGAAGGTGAGCAGACCCTCATAAACAGCCCCGCGTTGCCCCTTCAGATAACCAGCAATCTTTCAGGGAGTGTTAAAAGTGTCCGTTTACCATCTGTGTAAAATTACATTACATTTCATTTAGCTGACGCTTTTATCCAAAGCGACTTACAATGACCAATCACAGGGACATCCTCCCTGGAGTAACTAAGGGGTAAGTGCCTTACTCAAGGGCACACTAGTGGTGGTGTTCCTGGCAGGATTTGAACTCACAACCTTCCGATCTTCAGCCCACCTCACTATCCATTAGACCACCACCACTAAAATACACTGAAGAGCAGCTACGAGGCGCTTCTCAAGAGCTTTACAACGTGCTGATTCTCTGTAGAAACACCTGCATTTTGATGCTCACCTGTATTTCAATGCTCACCTGTTCCCGTAGACTTCCCCTTCCCCTTCGCCTGGGTCACAGGATACCTGGCCATGTTGGTTGGAGCTGGGATGACCTTCATCGTGCAGAGCAGCTCCGTCTTCACCTCCGCCATCACGCCGCTCGTTGGTGAGACGTTTGGCGTGATATCTTTTTAATCACATCAATATTTTTCCTTTCAAATTTCCAAATTCAAAGTAAATACAAAAAAAACCTCACTTCAAAATGCTGGAGAGGATGCAGTGAAGAAACCACGCTCATATATGTTGGGCCTGTAATGTGTTGGGAGACTTCTGGGAAGCAGTTTTAAGAGAAATGTCCAATATCTTCTCTCAACAAGAACGCCTTGACGCTATTGAGAGGGAAAACACCAGAGGGAATAAAAAAAACGATTCCTACCTATTTCTTGTAATTAGAATAGCGATCAAGGAACTGGCTAAAAGATAATAACTTAGTAAACTCCCAATGGAATAACCTAGTAAATGAAAACAACTATGAGAAACCAAACGCATATCTTTGAGGAAAGATGGTATATAGTATAGAACACTATAATGAAGATAATTAATGTATACCTAAGTATCAATATTTTCCTCTTAAAATGTCTCATACTTACGTAAGACTTAATTTACAGATATATATTTACCCTCTTATACTGAGAATACTTGAGCTGTATAACCTGTGCACTTATCCCCATATAACGTGGATAATGCCTTTCCTAAATAGTTCATTTAGAGCAATATAGCAATGTTTTTTTAGCATTAATATAACAATACCAATAAACCACTGCATTGATTGTAATATACCAAATTATGAATATTTATTGTTGTTATTTATTGAAGTACAATGTGCACAATTTTAGCTTTTATGTCTTTATAAATATTTTAGATTTTTTTTTAGAAAGATCTGATTTCCTTCCAGTAAAAAGTAAATAATTGAGTTTGTGGTTGTGATTTAAATGTCTTCCCCTCCCCCCCCGCAGGTATCGGGGTGATCAGCCTGGAGCGAGCCTACCCTCTGACTCTGGGCTCTAATATTGGAACGACCACCACGGCTATCCTGGCTGCGATGGCCAGCCCCGGAGAAACGCTCAACAACTCCCTGCAGGTGAGAGGCTAACAGCTGTTAGCATCACAATCACAATCAGAATACCTTTTTGAGAGAAAGTTTTAGCCAGATGATTAATTTAAAATACTCTCCATGTGTGGTTTATCTGTGTGGACACTGGGAGGAGAACAGTGGGAGTTTGGTAGTTAGCTTTTAGCTCTTGCAGCTAACTGTTGGTTGACTTTTGGGAGATGGGAGAAACTTCTATGAGTTCCCAACAAATAGATAAACAGTAATCACAGGGTGTTTGTCGAAGTACATGTGATTCCAGTTGTACGTGGTATCGACTTGGTATCGAGAATTGTGGGATTTGATTTGAATCGACCTGACTTCTTGTATTTTTTTAGCATGCTAGCCAAGTAAACATCTAGCAGCTAACTGTAAGATGTTACCTTTTGGGAGATGGGAGAAACTTCTCTGACTTCCTAACAGAGACCAGTAGAAAAACAGTCATCATGGAGAGTGTGTCGAAGTATGTGATTCTATGTTTTACGTGGTATCGCAACACGGTCTCACAGCATTTCGTGTTATAGTCACGAAATTAATCTATTGATTCGTGTTCACCAACACCATTTCCCCATTTTTTTCGTGTCGATTTTAAAAGCAATGTAAATAATAACAAATTAGAAGGAAAAACAGATAAAAAAAATACAGATTTCAGTATTCTGACACAGAACGATTTGAGAAGCAATGTATTTATATTAGGGCTGTCAAGTTAACGCGTTAACGCAAAAAAAAATCAACGCCACTAATTATGTTAACGCGATTAACGCATGTGTATTTTTTGTCCTCGGCCGCCCCGTAGTTTCAGAGCGCATCGAGTTTAAAACACCGTCTACAAGCTGATGCTGACAGCCCCGCTCCTGCCGCCCGCTTGTGGCAGACCACACTTCCTCGGGAGGACCGGGAGGGTGTGTGTATGTGTGGGGCGAGCAAGGCACACCTTACGTGTTGTTGTTGTTAGCATCTGGTGCTAGCTAGCTGCGCTAACGGATATAAGGAGCTGTTTCAATGAAAACAGAGGAGCGACATTTCGCCGACAACTGCGCCGAGCACTTGACTTGATGCAGGTAGCCAGACACACACACACACACACACACACACACACACACACACACACACACACACACACACACACACACACACACACACACACACACACACACACACACACACACACACACACACACACACACACACACACACACACACACACACTTGTAATGTTCAGAGGTTGTTGTGTTTAATATTAATGAGAATATTTGTCATTGTTCAAATGATAATAAACAAACATATAAAGCATATTTGTCCACTCATATGTTGATAAGAGTATTAAAAACTTGAGAAATATCCCTCTAAGGTACATTTAGAACAGATACAAAATGTGCGATTAATTTGCGATTAATCACGATTAACTATTTTAATCGACTGACAGCCCTAATTTCTATTGGTAGTATGTTTCGTGCCTGCACCAAATAATAACAAATTAGAAGGAAAAAAAGATGACATAAAATACAGATGTCAGTATTCTGAGGCTCTGAGACATTTCTTTTCCTCACTGACGGCAAAAAAACTCAGACATTATACAATTTAAAATAAAAGGGATAGGGTTAGGCTAAGGGTAAGATATTGAGTAAGAACATGTTTTTATGAACCACACAGCTTCTGGTCTTCCAAGACCCGACCGGACAAAAAGACGTGTTGCAGGCACGAAACATACTACCAATAGAAATACATTGCTTTAAAATCGTTCTGTGTGACACGAAAAAAAGGTGAAAATGGTGTTGGTGAACACGAATCAATAGATTACATTAATTTCGTGACTAATAACACAAAATGCCGTGAGACTGGGTTGGGTATCGACAATTGTGGAATTTGATTGGAATCGAATACACTTCTTGTATTGTTAGCATGCTAGCCAAGTAAACATCTAGGGTAAACATTATACCTGCTAAACATCAACATGATAGCATCATCGTGGTGTGTAATGGCTAACCCGAGAGTTACATCCAACATCCAATGGGATTTCTCGATGTGATGTTGAGGGTTTGAGGACTTCTTCCTGCACCTCTCTATTGGGCCCATGTTAGCATGCTAATGTTAGCTCAGAGTAGTATCCTGATGTTCCCCCTGAGGTCACAGCTCTGGTACCCCATGATGTTGAAGAAGACACAGATATTTGTCAAAGATTAAACCAGGATTTTGGGAATGGGATTTGTCGATGTGATTTTCGGGGTGTGAGGACTGCTAATGTTAGCTCAGAGTAGTATCCTGATGTTTCCCCTGAGCTCACAGCTCTGATTTCTTTCCTCCAGATCGCTCTGTGCCACTTCTTCTTCAACATCATGGGGATCATGCTCTGGTACCCGATCCCCTTCACGCGTATTCCCATCCGTCTGGCCCGCGGCCTGGGGAACCACACGGCTCAGTACCGCTGGTTCGCTGCTGTCTACCTCGTCCTCTGCTTCCTGGTGCTTCCTCTGAGCGTCTTCGGCCTCTCTATGGCTGGATGGCAGTTCCTGGTGGGCGTCGGCGTTCCCATCGTGGCGCTGGTGATCTTCGGAATCGTCGTAAACGTGATGCAGTCGCGATGTGAACATTTCTTGCCTCGGATACTGCAGAGCTGGGAGTTCCTTCCTCGTCCGCTTCACTCCATGGAGCCGTGGGACGCCGTGGTGCAGTCCATGTTCAGGTTCTGCGGGCGGAGATGCTGCTGCTGCTGCAAGTGCTGCCGGACGGAGGAGGATGATGAGAAGATGATGAAGAGGAGGAACAGCAAGAAGAGTCTGGAGATGTACGACAATCACGGCATGTCGAGTGACGAAGACACGGTGGAGACGGTGAAAGCAACAAATCTCTAAAACCAGATCTCTGACGTCCGGCTGAGAGATGCTTCAGAATCTCTAAAACCAGAGTTTACCACTTATTTTTATATTTTGTATTTTATGTGAGAGGTCGATGGTTTTAACTTTAAGCATTTAAATTTTAAATATTTAATATAGCGTTTCAGATATTGTTATCTGTCAGTATTTATGATATTGTAAATTAAAAACAAATCCTATTTTTAAATTGCTGTTTTGTCCTTTTTTCTTCCACTGATTAAAATACAAAGAGAACTCACAACCTCTTTCAGGGATCACACATTAGCAGCTGAGGTGTGGACTCGAGTCACATGACTTGGTCCCACCTCTGGAGAGCAGCTGAGGTGTGGACTCGAGTCACATGACTTGGTCCCACCTCTGGAGAGCAGCTGAGGTGTGGACTCGAGTCACATGACTTGGTCCCACCTCTGGAGAGCAGCTGAGGTGTGGACTCGAGTCAATGACTTGGTCCCACCTCTGGAGAGCAGCAGAGGTGTGGACTCGAGTCACATGACTTGGTCCCACCTCTGGAGAGCAGCTGAGGTGTGGACTCGAGTCACATGACTTGGTCCCACCTCTGGAGAGCAGCTGAGGTGTGGACTCGAGTCACATGACTTGGTCCCACCTCTGGAGAGCAGCAGAGGTGTGGACTCGAGTCACATGACTTGGTCCCACCTCTGGAGTGCAGCAGAGGTGTGGACTCGAGTCACATGACTTGGTCCCACCTCTGGAGTGCAGCAGAGGTGTGGACTCGAGTCACATGACTTGGTCCCACCTCTGGAGTGCAGCAGAGGTGTGGACTCGAGTCACATGACTTGGTCCCACCTCTGGAGTGCAGCAGAGGTGTGGACTCGAGTCACATGACTTGGTCCCACCTCTGGAGTGCAGCAGAGGTGTGGACTCGAGTCACATGACTTGGTCCCACCTCTGGAGTGCAGTAATGTGATATACTGGCGATGTACGATAATAAAGGCATGTCGAGAAACAAAGACACGGTGGAGGCGGTGAAATCCACGAATCTCTAATCCCAGAGTTCATCAGGTACGTGTTGCTTCTGAAAGTCACCACTTATTTTTATATTTTTTATTGTATGTGAGAGGTCGATGGTTTTAACTTTAAGCATTTACATTTTAAATATTTAATGTAGCGTTTAAGATATTGTTACCTGTCATTATTAAGACTTTATGATATCGTAAATGAAAAACAAATCCTATTTATATATTGCTGTTGTGTCCTTCTTTCTTCCACTGCATCACTGATTAAAGTGCAGTATTGTCATGTATTTGTAATATAATTATATATTACAAATACATGACAATACTGCACTTTAATACCTTGGATTAAGTTCAAGGTTATTTAGTTATAGATTTCATCAGAAGCCTCGTGGTTCCTGTAAGTGATTTATATCAGATGATTGCTCTGATATCTGATTTCACTTTGAGCACCGGTTTGTGACGTCAGACGGAAACATCGAGCAAGTCCGTCCGCTATAACATTTAAGAATAATAATCAGAATAATGTGAAGTATTTGATGCCACTTAGTAAACAGTTATAATAAATTGGCAATGACAAATCTACAGACGAGGATTAGGGCCTTGTTTTTGGTTTTTTAAGTTTGGCATATTTCTCAATCTCAATCTTTATTTATTTATATAGCACATTTAAAACAACCTTCAGTTGACCAAAGTGCTGAACAGGCAATAAATATTAAATATATTTCTGACTTTTTCTCCTAATGTTGACGTTCTTCGTGAAAAAGTACGAACTTTTTTTCTCAGATTTCTGATTTATTTTCTCCAGAAAATCTCAAAATGATGTCTTTTCTAAAATTATTTTAACTCAAAATCTCAGATTTCTGACTTCTGAGAAAAAGTGGTAATTTTAAGATTTTCAGAGGAACACAAGTCTCAGCAAAAAAGCAAAAAACTTTTTTGCAGAATCGTGATATTTTGATATTTATCTCAGAACAAAAGAAATGATCTCTCTTGGGCAGATCCCTATTTTCTTTAATGTGGCCCTAACCCTCTTCCTTCAAACCAGTTGAAAGGGAAATCAGAAAACCTTTATTGTCCCCACAGAGGGGACGATTACATTGTTACAGCAGACACTATTAGATGAAGGACATGCACAACATATATAGAATAGAATGGGAGGGATGAAGCCCCTCTTTAATGGCCTCACATGCAGAGCACACAGCACACACAGGGACGTTTGGCCTCTGCATTTAACCCATCCTAGTACCAGGAGCAGTGGGCAGCTATTGGACAGCGCCCAGGGAGCAATGGGAGTGGGGGGGAAGGGTGCCTTGCTCAAGGGCACCACGGCAGGGTCCCTGATAGCTCTCCTCAATCACATTGTGCCACAAGTCACTGGACCACCAATCACCCCCTGTGTCCGGCAGCCTCTGGCCCCCGGGGGTGTGGCTAATAATAGACTATTAGTGATGGCCCCCAGTGTGTGTGTGTGTGTGTGTGTGTGTGTGTGTGTGTGTGGTGTGTGTGTGTGTGTGCGTGTGTGTGCGTGTGTGTGTGTGTGTGTGTGTGTGTGTGCGTGCGTGCGTGCGTGCGTGCGTGCGTGCGTGCGTGCGTGCGTGCGTGCGTGCGTGCGTGCGTGTGTGTGTCAGTGGACACTCACTGACAACAGTGTAATTTAAAAGGAATGTCAATGGGCTGCTTGATTTAATTGCATGTTGCAGAAATTTGAGAAGTGCTGAAATAAAAAGAGACAGTATCCTCCAACTCTAGATCAACAACGACTGTTCAGGAACTGAAGCGTGCAAAATAATAAAGACGTGATTTTGTGTGTGTGTGCGTGTGTGTGTGTGTGTGTGTGTGTGTGTGTGTGTGTGTGTGTGTGTGTGTGTGTGTGTGTGTGTGTGTGTGTGTGTGTGTGTGTGTGTGTGTGTGTGCACACGATGAACACATGTACATCTCTCTGAGAGTTCAGTCAGAGATGGTCCCGTTTCTTTAACCCTAAAGAGTGGAAAGTGTGAAAGCTGTAAACCCATTGAGATGATTATCAGGGTTTATTTGAGCTTGAGCAGGTCAAAGTGCCTGCAGTTCAGTTTAATATCACCTTCAAGCTCTTATCTTGCAGCATTCCCACTATCTGTTCTTTGACGCACGAAATTCTTTATTATTCCGCCGGGTTATTTTGCGCCTCTTCTTCTCCCACATTCCACATCGCAGAAACTCCGTTCAAACATCAAAATGTTCAGCTCGGTCGGGAATCGATGGCTATTACTTTTCTCATTCATAACTTTCATAATTCCAGAGATACATCCCATAATACATCCCATTTTTAACATGGAAGTCAATGGAGAACTCTTCAGACTTCAACAATCTTCATGCAACTTCAACTGCTAACTGCTCCTTCATACTTTCACTCAGAAACCTCATTCCAACTTCAACATGTTACACATCTTTCTGGCATTATTCGTGTAACACAACTTTTAAATCTGATTCTTACTTTTAGAGATATTAAACATTGTTCAGACCTTGGTAAAGAGGCCTTCTTCAGATTTTAACATTAGTGTTTATTGCGCAGCTCGTCAAGGTGCGTGATCTCAAAGCTAGAGTGGAGGACAGATTGAAATTCGCCTTCATATCTTTTTTTAAACCTGCCATAATTCCCAAACCCTACATTCCTGAGACATCATTTATCATGACAAACGTAGGAAAACATCTCGTAGCTTGAAAAATTAAAAGAAATTAAGCAAAATAATTAAACAAAATGCCTCTTGAGGGCATGAAGTGACACAAACTTTCAACATGTCCCCATTAAACCCCATTGTAAGTTCAGCCTCACCTTTCCCCACCACAGCAGCCGCACACCTTTAGTTAATCTGCCAAAAAGGCCACATTATTCACCCGAAAGTACACAAAAAGTACACTTCAGATGCTCAAGTTCCGTGACATGCTTCACGCTTTGAAATTTCACCGATATCTGTTACGGTTCTTCAACAAAACGTTCACATGTAAGAGGTTCATCTCTCATTCAGAACAATGAAAATGCTCTCCTCTCACTGATTACTGCACATCACCATGGAAACCTTTGATCTCTGGACACGTCGTTAGCTCAAATATAAACACCTGTGTAATGGAACACGATGATGTCATAACTCCAACTGACATGCTCAGAGCACCAGACTTCAGATAATGGTTAATGGTCCGGCCCTCAACAGCTCTATGTCAATTATAGAGTGGCGAAGTCCCGCCCACTTACTTCCGCCCCATGGGACCTTATTTCGGAAAAATAATGCATTGAAGTCAATGGAGAGAGAAAACTTATCTTTCGATCCCGTTTGAATTGTGCCATGAATTACACATATGATGTTTGTCAATCTTAAAAAATAATTTCCATTTCAAAAAGGTCACAGTTTGTCGTAAAACTGTTGAAATATAAGACTATGAAAAATACGCAACTAGAAAGACGACAAATCCCAGAGTCGCGTAAGTGATGTCACAATTGTTTTCCTCCACTAAGAGATAGCTTAGATCAGCGCCATATAGATATAATCTATCTATATGGCGCTGGCTAAGATAAGATAACTTTAACAAGATGCCTGTGTGCTTAGTACCAGGTTGTTCATACCACCAATGGGTCTTGCTCGTTCTTTCGCTTCCCGTCTGATGAAAGGACCAGGAGTACTCTGGATCATGCTAGTTAGTAGCTAGCACGTTAGTTAGCATTACAGCCTTGTCATTTTTATTAGCCTTAACATGAAGTAACATTAAGTAACCCAAAATGTTAAACAGTAAGAGTAGTAGTCATATTTCGTGAACCCTTTGAAGAGTACTGTCACCGGTGTGATCATTCTATAATACACCATTTAAGCCCGGGGGAGAAATGCTAACGCTAGCATCGGCGATCTTCTCTACTTCATGCTATCTGCACAAATGGTTGACATTAAACATTAAAACGACCAGGCAGTTCAGAGAGAATCAAAGGAAGGCAGGCAGGCAGCTTTGCATGACTTTCTTCAGGATGTGTTTCATTGTGGTGATAGTGAGGGTAGTCAATCGTTTTGTTGACAAGACAGTAGTGACGGCCATCTTGGTGACGTGTGTTGTTGACCAGAGATTAAAGTAAACAGATATGGTTCTAAACTGTATTGAAGTAAACATGTATTATTTTGAACTGTAT